CATGTGCACGCACGCACACGTGTGCAAACACACACACACACACCAAAAATATACCTCATAGGATCTAAAGAAAGAAGGGATATGGCACATAGTACATCCCCTGCAAGCCATGTAACACAACAGGCCATGGCTTCCACGCACAGACAGCACCTGATATCTGATAAGTTTAGCACATAGTAGTACCTCACCTGGGTCATCTCCTCTTCCCAGCAGTGGATGGCTGTTTGGGTGATGGGAATTTGTTTCCACATTAACCTAGGCGACATATTATCAGGAAGTCAAAGCTGTTGTCTTAGCAGCCCACCACAGTAAAAATAGAAATGTACATCATTGCTAATGATGTGTTTAGCAGTCTGGAGCATCCTTGCAAGCCAGCCCCTCAGACAGATGGCTGAATTGATGGGGATTTCAGGACACCAAGCAAAGAGCACCAGGTCTGGAATTTAAAAGCCTTCTATGTAGTCTTGCTTCTTCCCTCTTTTAAGGGATCCTGGGTCACACATCTCACTCTGTGTCTAAGTTCCTCTGATCTAGCATGGTAGTAGTCTTAATCCAACATGGAGATGTGCTTTCCTCCGCCTGCAGAGATGGCTCAGTGGGTAAAGTGCTTGCAATACAAACATGAGGACCCAAGTTCACATACAGATCTCCAGAGCCCACATAAAATCTGTATATGGGGACTGGAGAGATGGCTCAGTGGTTAAGAGCATTGCCTGCTCTTCCAAAGGTTCTGAGTTCAATTCCCAGCAACCACATGGTGGCTCACAACCATCTGTAATGGGGTCTGGTGCCCTTTTCTGGCCTGCAGACATACACACAGACAGAATATTGTATACATAATAAATAAAAAAATTTTAAAAAAATCTGTATGTGGTGTGGTGCCATGTCTCCATAATCCTAGTGCTGGGGTTGGCTAGAGACACATAGATCTTGGGGTCTCTCTAGCCAAAAGATGAGCTTCAGATTCAGTGAGCGATTCTGCCTCAAAAAAAGTTGCGGGTGATAAACATCACTGACATTGACCTCTGACCTCTATATGTGCTTGCATAGGTGAGCACATCTACACGTATGTGTTCATATACATGTGTGTGTATGTGTGTGTGTTGTACTTATCTTGGTGAAGTGGGTAGAAATAAAGGGAGGATAGACGGGAAATGAGAGGGACAGGAGTTCCTGGTGTTGGACTCAAGGTGAATCCTCTCACTAGCTGAGAAGCAAAACTTCCAACACAGTCAACAGTGTTTGCTTAAGGCCTTGCTTTCTTTCCAGCCATGAACTTGAAATTTCCTAGTAATCTCATCAGAAACCCCATTTATAGTAAGTCCTAAAGACCTTGTACAACGCAGACGCCCTGATTGTACCTTATCTGATTTCTACAGCATCTAGGTCACCTCCAAAGTGACACCTTAATCTCACCTACCAAGAAGAGGAATACCTTATTCCCAGCTCCAGCCCTAAGCCCTCCTAGGCCTCTGTCCCAGAGCAAGTATGGTTGGGAAGCAAAGCATTTTTTTTGTATCCAGCTGCAGTATCCACCTGAGAGCTTGGATCTAACCTCCTTCAGTAATGCTAATGGCTGAAGAGAGATTACCCTTGCATCTTTAAAACAGCTACTGGATTTCTGGTTTATAAGAGATGCTGATAAGTTGGGGAAACCCAAACTCTCCAAGAGAAAGGTAGGTGAGAAAGGTAGGTGAAAGACAGCCTTCCTGTGGCTGCTCTCGGAGCTGGAAAGGGAAGAGGGGTGTGAATATAAGGGCAGATATGTCATGGTGCAGGGTCAGGTTAGAACTTAGAGAAAGAACATGCTGCATAGTCACCAGAGTTAGGGGTGGGACTCACCTTCTGGGTAGGATGGAGAAGTTGATCCATCTTGGCGAGGGGTAGCAGGGGACAATTATCCACCTATGTCACGCACACCATGGGCACCCTGGGTAAATCAGCAACCAGAGAATCCAAAAGCTACAGGAGAGAAAGTATAAAAACCCAGGAAACTCGATTACAAGCACATGGGCATCATCTCCCTGGCCAGGAGACACACTTAGCAAACCCATGGCCAGTGTTAATTTTAGAGGTTGATTGGTGTGGTCCATGGGGTGTCCAGATAGTTAATAAAACGTCATCTCTGGGTGGGCATGTAAGGATGAGATTAGCCTATGAAATGGTGGCACAGATATCCCTCTTTAATATGGGAGGGAATCGTTTAACCTACTGAAAGATAAAGAGAGAGAGACAGAGAGAGACAGAGAGAGACAGAGAGAGAGAGAAGCAAAGATAATGCATGTCATTTATTTTGCTTCACTAAGCAGGTCCCCTTATCATCCCTCATCTCCATACCAGAAACACCTATTCCTCTGCTTTACATTACTGAATTTTAAACAATTTTACCACAGAATCCAGTGTGAAGATAGCAACAGATCAGGAAATTTAGATACCATAATTATGAAGGCCATTATCTGTGCAGATGGATAGATAGATAGATAGATAGATAGATAGATAGATAGTAGATAGATAGATAGATAGATAGATATAGATAATCAATGTATACATCATATATTACATACATACAATTCATATGTGTGACATAAAGAGATAGATTAATTAATAAAAAAGATGATAGATGTCCATATACAGAGCAATAAAAGGATAGAAGATAGTCAGACAGACAGACATATAGATCTCTGTTATTCTGGAGATCCATGCCTAACAGACTCACCATGTCTACATTTTTCAGATAGCTCTGAAGAGGAATGTTCAAGTTTGAGCCATAAAGTTGAGGGAGAAGAGCCACTCTGGCCATCACTAACTTAAGTGCCAAGGGAATTGGGATGGAAGATCGAGTAGAAGGTGGGAGAAGCCTGCATTCACAGCTAGAGCCAGAAATCCAAGTGTTTCTGTCCGCAGTAAAGCAGGGATTATGGAGAAATCAAGCTGGCGAAATGTGGTCCTGAGCATCATATTCAACAAGTGTATAATAACATTCACATCCTTCAGATGCATTATGAGATTTTTCATAGCACTGCATCACCCTGCAGTTTTCCATCACAAACATTATCATGTGAGGACCCAACAGTTTCTCATTTTGCTTTGTTCCTTTAAAAAGATGTCCTTAAACCAGATGAGAAGAGATATCCAGGATACAATGCCATTGCATTCATACTAAAATGCCATTTAGTCAGCATGCAAGCTGCCAGATAAAAGTGAGTGGTACCAGAGGGATGAATTGGAAATTGTCATTCCGTCAAACTTAGTGACAACATTATCTGCAGATCTTAAGAAAAATCAGCTCAGAAAAAAAAAATCCCTGGTTGGTAGTGATCCTCTCAGATAGATTGAAATCTTTCCAGGCTATTTTTCGGGGCTCATCAATCAAGGGCAGTTGTCATGGAGAACAGTTGAATAGATGGTTTCCATTTAATTATGTTCAGCCCTCTAGATATTGAAAGTGCTTGGGAACAAGAAGGCTACGCTGGCCCTGGACTCCTCAGATAAAAAAAAAATAATGATTGTTCTTTCTCTAATACACCTTTGCCTGCATTCATTCATTCATTCCAAAATTGAAGAGCTAAGTATCAAGTATCTATTACATTCTAGGCATGGAGAAAATATGACTTTATAAAAAATATCCAGTACCAATATGGATGCCATATACTTTAGGCTGGCAGAAGATAAACCATAAGCAACCATGAAGGCTTGTTTACTAGAGGGGGTACTTAGTATGGAAAAGTGTTATCTGTGCTGTTCAAGCTGATGAGTGTTTAGAGTTGGGTCTCTAATGGACATGAGTTCACATAAGGGTCTTGATTCAAAGATGACTAGCTCCAATTTCTTCCAAAGTCCTGAAAGAGGAAGTCAATAATATAAGGACAACAAGTGAAGGCACTGGAAGCCCTCCTGCCATGAGAGGAAGTTCTGTTGCATCCGGCATTTGGGAACAAATTTGTTGTTTTTCCCTGAAGATGTGAAAATATCGCCTCAGCTCACATGCAGGACTCACAGCAAACCGAAGTAACCATCCTACCAAAGTCCACCTTGATAAACTAATGAATTTATTGGGATGACTTACCCAGTATGGATGAGGGATTATTTATAGGGGTTGGGGGGAACCCCAAACAACTGTGTCACATCAATATCTCACCCCAGCAAGGATGGTGATCTCATAGAAGCGGCATCACGGAGTTCACTGTTCAGTCGACATTCTGTTTCCAATGCTGTGTAGCATTTCAAGGATACTGGCAGGTAGCTGGGCTACTGACACTATCTCAAACAAACAAGCCAAACTTAAAATAAACAAACAGAAGAAAATGCATCTCCACCACAACTTCAAAAGACAAGTTTCCCAGTTGAAAAAATAAATACTCACAAAGGTGCACTCAAATTGCTGTAAAACAGAAAATAGCTTACTGTTAGGCTACTAAAGGTAATTGTAAGTATTTCCATAAGTGAGTAGCAGCATTTCTGAAATACATAGGAGAAATATAGACGCAGGAACAAAGAGAAGGGGATTGGAGAGATGCCTCCCTCTGGCTCCAGGAAATCTGGTGCCCTCTTCTGGCTTCCTGTGGCACTGCACTCACATGAAGGCACAAACATCCATAAACAATAAAAATAAATCTTTTTTAAGAATACATAAAAGAATTTCTGCTGCGATTATTTATAATGGAAACCACTCAATGGACATCCGTGGTTTGTGTATTATGGGAATAATTATTTTTACATTAGCACCTGACAAAAACAACTGAAGGGAAAAAAGATTTATTTTGTCTTATGGTTTTAGAGGTTTGCAGTAACAACCATGGAGAAGGCATAGTATAGTAACTCAATTCATGACAACAGTATATGTAAAAGAAACTATTGCTATTACAGTAGACCAGGAAACTTGAGAGCAAGGCAGGAACCAGGACAGAGGCCTTGGAGCCGCAGCTGCTCACACTCCACTGCAAACTCTGGAGGCCTCAGTAACTCAAACCAAAAGAATATCACTCCCTTCCTTAGCGTACCTTGTTCAGTGGCAAAATTCAGATCTCTACCAAGTTTATCCCAGGATGACACATTAAGATTGCCAGAGACGGCAAACCAAGGCCAAGCAGCGCTGAGGGTCTGCGAAGCTGCAAACACCCGGGACCATAGGAGCACAGCACACGACAAGATCTGTTGACCTGGACCTCTGTCCTAGCCCGGGGCAACCAGCCAGACCGGGGTCTGGGCCTGCCGCTCAGCCACACCACCACCTTACAGCTCGGTGGGGAGGAGCCTCTGCCTCTCCCCTGCCGTTGCTGAAACTTCAGTCCAAGCGTGACTGGAAAATGGCAGTAAGAATGTAACGTCCCCGCTCAGCAGGAAGTAGCCAGACAGATTGACAACGCCCAAATTCCCTAAAACATAGTTTAAGCGGGGCCCCTTCAGAGCAGAAGCAGGATCAGCTGGGTTGCTAGGGAAGCTAAAGAGGTGCACGAGGAAGAAGGTGTCTTCCATGCACTCAGCTGACAGGAATAAATGAGCCACGGGAGTATGGCAGCTGGGGTATGTTATTTAGGGGACTGCTGAAGGAACAGTGGTTTCTTACTGCTTCTGTGGTTTTGGCAAAGCCACTCCTAATGACAGGAGCAGGCAGAGGAAAGCCAGGGAGGGGAAAGCAAGATTGCCTCCCCTTCCTCTCCTCTGTGCTGGCCCCTCTGCTACCAGTTCTGACTGCCCTTGCTGCTGCCGCAAGCACAGCCACGGCTGTGGCAATTGGCTCAGCTTGGCTGTGAATGGAAGTATCTGGGGCTGTGTGTGTGATATGAAAAATTTAAAGAATTGTCTAGCTGCCTTTTAGGTAATTGGTCTGGTGAATTCGAACAACAACTGGAAAAGTTGCGGGTGGCGGTGGTGACTGCAGATTCCACACGCATGGATACCAGCATGGCAGAAGAACCATCTTCCTGGATCACTCCATGGATCATCTGAAGGAGTGGGTGGGAGTAAGAGCCCTGGCAGGCCTAATGGTGTTTGCCTCCCTGGTGTGCCTGTGGTGCGTCTGTTGCATGAGGGTTTCACAGCGTCGCAATGCGACTTTGATCATACAGGCCTTCATGGCCATTGAAGCAGGACAGTCTCCCCAAGCTTGGCTATCTACCTTAAAAGAGATGTGAGTGAGCACAGGATGCGAGGCTTGCGCACTGCACTTGAGGTAAGCATACATCAACCTCAAGAAGAGCAAGTCTGAGTGCATGTGGGTTGGTGTCTATCTCCCACCTCTGTGAAAAGGACACCGGACAGGTGTAATGTTCTCTGGTTGGATGACATCCAGAAAGACATTAGCACATGTCCCATTTTTAACAGAGATCAGACCTCTACACTTGCCTGTTTGCTCCTGGGCTGCTGCTTCTTCAGCACACAGGTTGGCAATCTCATCTGAGCAGTGCAGCTGGAGCTGAGGGTCCAGACGGTAATCTAGAGTGGACTCCTGGATGATGATGCGGATCTGGTCCTCACAGTCTGAAGACAGGCGCTGGTCAGCATATCTCAGCTTGAAGCATGAGATGACTTGACCTTCCAGCTCCAAATCATCCTTTGCCTTGGTCAGGATACCATGACAGAATTTAGGAATGTCAGCTTTGCAGGCTTTTCTTAGCATGGGGTTTAAGCGGTAATCTGTGTTCTGGGTGATCTGGCGCTTGGTTATCATCTGTTTGCATTTGGGATCCACCAATTCACTGTTTTTATTTTGCTTCAAGCACTGTAACATGGTTTTGGAATCTGCTTCTGGACAGAACCGCTTAATCATCTGCTTGCAGACTCGCATGAGTGTATAGTCTAGTTCTGGGTCCATCATCTCTGTCTCCTGAAGCTTAAATACTTTCTGGTGGCAACAGGTACTCAGCTACTTCTTGTTTTCCTTCAGACATTCAATAATCTGAGCATTTCCATACTGTACTGTAGAACAGTAGCTCTTGATGTCACTCTTGCAGGCTTCATACAGATCTGGTTCCAAACAAATGTCCTCCGTCATCTCCAGCTCCTCCACACGGAGTTGCTTGCGGCACTTCAGTGATACCTGGTGATCCTTGACTTCCTGCAGAGTGTTGTTGTGCACATGTTGTAATAGGAGCGGCGGGGCTGTGTCCCCAGCACCTCAGCCGCCTACTAGCTTATGTCCCGAAATAACAACACACAAACTGTATTCATTTAAACACTGCTTGGCCCATTTCTATCTAGCCTCTTCTAGGCTAATTCTCACATATTAATTTAGCCCATTTCTAATCATCTGTGTAGCACTGCTAGGTGTGCTTACCGGGAAGATTCTAGCCTACGTCCATCCTGGGTCGGAGGAGCTTCATCGCGTGTGTCTCTGAGAGGAGCTGCATGATTTCTGACCTCACTTCCTCTTCCTCCCAGTATTTTATTCTGTTTACTTCACCCACCTATGTTCTTACCTATCAGGGCCAAGGCAGTTTATTTAACCAATGACCTTCCTCCATCATTTCCCCTTTTTCTGTTTAGACAAAAAGGAAGGCTTTAACTTTACATAGCAAAATTACATATAACAAAACAGTTCTCAAGTAAAAATTACAATAATCTTTATCATAACTAAGGAAAACTATAACTATAACTAACTATTCTTAATTCCATCAAAGACTCAAGAAAGATACAATATTACCTAAGCAAACAAGAAATAAGCAACTTTCAAACTCTAGAAATGACAAAGACATCTTGCTGTCTGGACAGTCACCCAAAGTTCCTCTGTACCATTGGGTCATCCATCTTCGGCCTACAGGCCCATAGTTTCCAGCAGACATTTCCACAAAGCAGGAAATTTCAAAATCAGTTCAGTCATTATCAGTTGTGTCCTGCAGAATGTCTTGCAGACTCTTTCATGAATCAGGAATCCCGAAAGATCATCTCACCTTTAGGCAAGTTCAGCAGTCCTCTCTCTGCGGGTTCTCTGTGTCCAGTTTATGCAATAGTCCAGGCAAGAGCAGTTTCTTGCCCAAATGGCTATCTAACTCCATAAGGATCCTCTTTGATGCCCATCTTTTTCTTGAAGTAGATTGGTGCTGCCAGGAGCAGAGTGTCTCATTGTCATGAAAAGTCCTAAGTTATTAAAACATTTAAAATGCCATATTCTATAATCTTTGAAAAATATGAAAAATGCCTATCTAAAATATATCTATGCACATCCAGAAAATCTTAACTAACATGACTACAAACTTGACTATTATGATTATCTATTAACAACCTATATACATTACATTTTTAAGTGAACTACACAATCATAATACCTTAATCAAGATCAGAAATACATATAACAAAATTGACCTTAAATTTCTATCAATAAAGCAAAATCTATACTAATGCAAATTACTCATACCTATATCATATCCCCCTTTAAATGTAAAAGAACATTTATAAGCAATATTTGAGAATATGGGCACAGTTATTTCTCTCCAAACTGCTTCCTGCTGAATGGGGGCGTCGTTAATTAGGTCTTTCATGGTATAACCTGTGTGCTAGTTTCATCTCAGTTGGCAGTTGAGCGAAGCAATTTTCTGAAGGAGTTCATAGCAACCTTTCAGGAGGGCATGGTCTATCATACCATATAGGAATAGAAAAAATCCACAGACTCTCACCCTCTGTGAAAACAAAATAAGAAACTCCTTTCCAAAGCATCATATCCTTAGATCCAAATTTCAAAGCATTTTCAAAATATCTATGCTGAATTAGTTCAGCAGCATTTATAAACAAATATCTTTTAGCAGCTGTTGCTCCTTCCTCAGCATTCAAACAATTCAAAGAGAGCATAATAGCATACAGTATCAAAATTCTCTGTGTATTTTCCATCTTTGTGCCCTTTATTTTAACCTCTATTTCATTTATTTTTACTTTTATTTTATATTCTCTGTATCTTTGTCCTGGAATAACTCTGTAGACCAGGCTGTCCTTGAACTCTCAGAGATCCACCTGTCTCTGCCTCCCAGGCACTGGGATTAAAGGTGTGTGCTACCACACCTTGAAGTCACAGAGGTCAATCTCCCTCTGCCTCCCAAGTGTTGGGATTAAAGGTGTGTACTACCACACCCAACTACCCTCTTTCTTCCTTTTTTTATACTTTTAAGAATTTTTAACTTTTAGCTTGCATATATTTTTAATACACTGTAAACCATTTAGAAATTTTCTTTGTCTTTGAATCTCTCTTTACTGTATATCTCTCTTTTTCTGACCATACAAGCCTTTAAATTACTGAGCAATATGGGTAGGATTAAAGCCACGGCTTTGACGGCTGGATCCAGCTCATTCCTTAGTTTTCTAGCCTCATGGCTGAGGTACTGGCTGTAGCCATGTTTACTGCCACAACTCTATGGCATTTCAAGGTCCCTGCCAGTCAGCGAGCTACAACAGACAACACTCAAGTCCTCTCTCTGTAGCCAGCCCTCCTGCCTCAAAAAGTCAAGAGTTTGCCCTGGCAGGATGGCCCAGAAAGCCAGCATTTTAAAACAGCACAACTTTTTTTCTTGCTACAGCTGAAAACCGAAAAGCATGCGTTCAGCTTTTCGTCAACACCGTTTAAGTGTTTCGTGGCAGGACCTCTTAATAAGCTGCAGGGTTTTGCAGCTAAAGCTGAGTCAGGAAGCCTCTCTTAGATGAGAGTGCTTGCTTGCCTCTAGCAAGCAGAGTAGACCCGAGAGAGTGCTGCTACCAAAAAATCATGTACAATGCTGTCATTTTGTTCTAGAATTACTTCCCAAGCTGTCTCAGGCTTTCAGTAGATACAGTTGTCCACACGTCTGGACGCCATTTGTTGTAATATGAGCGGCAGGGCTACGTCCCCAGCACCCCGGCCACCTGGCTAGCTTATGCCCCGAAATAATTACACTGACACTGTATTCTTTTAAACACTGCTTGGCCCATTTCTATCTAGCCGCTTCTAGGCTAATTCTCACATATTAATTTAGCTGATTTCTAATCATCTGTGTAGCACCGCTAGGTGTGCTTACCGGGAAGATTCTAGCCTACGTCCATCCTGGGTCGGAGGAGCTTCATCACGTGTGGCTCTGAGAGGAGCTGCATGATTTCTGACCTCACTTCCTCTTCCTCCCAGCATTTTGTTCAGTTTACTCCACCCACCTATGTTCTTACCTATCAGGGCCAAGGCAGTTTATTTAACCAATGACCTTCCTCCATCACGCACAGTGGTGCTCAGGCAGATCACTACATCAACCTTCTTTTTTATGTTGGGACAAAGTTTTAACGCATCCTCCTTGCAGGCCATTTTGAACTTGTAAGAAAATCAAAAATCCTTCATCTGCACCAGCTGGAAGTGAGTGACTCCAATGGCACACTTCTCATTCATGTCCTTCTGGTGTTTGTTCTGTATCAGACACTCCATCAGGTCCCCAGAATCTATCTGGTTGTCTGCCACATCATGACAAAAGTTCTGAATTATAGGCTCACAGGCTCTCATCAGCAAGGCTTCTATTTGGATATCCTCAGACTCTAACTGGGTGAGGTTGCCCACTATGTCTCTGCATTCCACAGCTAAGTCATCAAGATGGTCCTGGAGGCACTCAAGCTCCTGCCCGGTCTCTGTTTTCTCACTGCACCATTTCCCAAGGTCTATCAGGCACTTATCCTGGAGGGCAGGATCCAGCTTAACATCCATGGCATGCTGGTGTAGGATCCTTTGTACTTCAGCTCGGCATTCTAGTGAAAGCCTCCTTCCTTGTTCTTCTGTGTGGTAGGCATGTCTGTATAAGCAGGAAAACACAGCTCCAGGAGGCATAAGTTCACTGGTCTCATTTCAACCATGGGTATGGCAAAGGCGAGAAGCATCTCCCTGGCATTTCCGGTATAAAACAGGGTCCAACTTCCAATCCCGAGAGATAAAATACCGCAGCTCTAAGAGACGGTGTTCACAGTCTTCCACCATTTTCTCTGTGTATAAATGTTCCATCAGACATGAAAGAATCATTGGGTCTCCAGATCGTATGTGTTTGCAAGCTGTCTGTATTACAGATTCACAGGCTTCATTCAAAGCTCGATCAATGCGGTAATCTGCACCAGGGTCAGTCTCCTGAATCAGTATCTGAAGCGCCTGCTGGCAGTTCATTCCAAGGTTCCCTTTTTCACCCCGCACTACTTTCATCAGACAATGAAGGGTTCGCCCTTTACGATGGAGTCCAGAACAGTGATGTTCAATCTCCCCTCGGCAGCTCAGGATAATCTCAGGACTCAGAGAGAAATCTTCCATCAGCATGCGTCGATAATCCAACATCTCCCCTTGGCACTCACTGCTCACCTGTTGCCCTCTGTGCACAGCTGACTCCAGGCACATCAGAAGGTAGGAGAGCCTGGCTTCCCGGGACCGAGGAAGGTTTTCCACATTGCACTGGTATTTCTTCAAGTCACTCTTACAGGATTTGGCCAGTGAATAACTGACTTTATAATCCTGGGCAATGAGCTTTTGGCGTGTAGTTAGTGCTTCTCTATACTTTTCACTCATGGATTCTTCAAATTTATGGTTAAAAAGACATTTATATACTCTTCCTTCACCAGCTTGGGTGTTTTCACAAAAGCGCTCCTGATCATCTCAGCAAGCAAAATACAAATGACGGTCTAAACGAAAGTCATCCAAGGACAGCTCAGCCACCTGGAGGATGGCTTTCTTGCAGAGTTCAGAGACTTGAATCTTCGGCTCTTTTTCTTCTGCTTCTTTCACCAGGCCTTTTTCCAAACACGATACCACCTCACCTTGTGAATGTGCATCCTTTTCACCAAGACGGATACTGCCACATTTCAAAATGTTGGTATCATTTTTGTAGTCATCCATAAAGCCACAAATCAAACGGTAATCATTGAAAATGATAGCTGTCATTTTGGTAATGTACTGGTGACATTGATATTCAGTTATGTTGCCTTGGTGATCCACAGAGCAGGAAACCATGTAACCTTTACCAACTGGTTCTTCAGCACATTCTTTAATCTCTGATATAGTTGACTTGCAAACCTCTCTGGCCACAGATTCAAATTTGGGATCAGTAGTCAGGTTCAGCTTGTAATTCCACAACAAATGATTGCAGTCTAAAGAAATTTCATTCTCAGGCTCCCGCTGATCACTTGATAGTTCATTTCTTTTAGTACTGAATAATATTTCACTATAGAAATTAATTCTGGCCAGGCAGTAGTGGCACATGCCTTTAAACCCAGCACTCAGGAGGCAGAGGCAGAGGCAAAGAGCTAGTTCCAGGATAGGCTTCAAAGCTACAAAGAAAGCCTGTATTAGAAATTGCCTTGGCCTGCTGATAGGACAGAACTAAGCTAGGCATGGAAAACTAAACTGAATGCTGGGAGAGAGGAGGTGAAGTCAGGGAGAAGCCATGTAGCCCCATGGGAGACAGACATGCTGAAACTTTGCTAGTAGGCCATGACCATGTGGTGATGCACAGATTAATGGCAATGGATTAAATTAAGATGTAAGAGTTAGCCAATATGAAGCTAGAGCTAATGAGCCAAGCAGTGATTTAAATAACACAGTTTCTGTGTGATTATTTTGGGGCTAAGCAGCTGGGAACTAAGTAGCAGCCTCCACCAACGAGGGGGGGGGGAATGGATTTCTATTTATTTACCTGTGCACCTCCTGGAATATGTTATAGATGCTTCCATGTTTGGCTAATTAAAAATTAAACTGCTATAAACATGCATGTGCAGGGTGTAAAGTGAAGAGTGTAGGATCTAAAAACAGCACCTCACTTTGGGATTCTGTTTCTCTGTAATTTCCTTTTGGAATACATGGATTTGTGTTGCCACCTGTGTGTCTGTGTATGCATGGGCGCAGGTACCAGCAGAGATCAGGAGAGGGTATCAGATCTCCTGGAGCAGAAGTTATGGGTTACTGTGAACTGCCTGACATGGGTGCTGAAAACCAAACTCAGGTCCCCTGCAGTAGCAGTAAGCACTCTTAACCAATGGCCCATTTCCTCAGACCCTTAACTGTCATTTTAAAACTAGTTTTAGGTTATGTAGTAATTTGAATGTAATTGACCCCTATAATCTCATAAGGGGTGCCACTATTAGGAGGTATGGCTTTGTCAGAGTGGGTATGGCCTTGTTGGAGGAAGTGTGTCGATGTAGGGATGGGCTTTGAGGTTTCCTGCGTTTAGGATATCGCCCAGTGTTTCAGTTGACTTCCTGTTGCCTGCAAGATGTAGGACCCTCAGCTACTTCTCCAGGATCACATCTGCCTGCCTGCAGCCATGCTCCCCCACCGTGATGATAATGGACTGAACCTCTGAAACTGTAAGTGAGCCCCCTCAATTAAATGTTTTCCTTTGTAAGAGTTGCTGTGGTCATGGTGTCTCTTCACAGCATAGAACCTTAACAAAGGCAGGTGACCATTGAAGTGAATGGGTTTTGTCTTGACACGCACACCACACACACACACACACACACACACACACACGATTCTTTGTCCTTAATTTTTCTCTCCCCTACAGCCATCTTCTCCCGCCTATTACCCCCAGCCTATTTCTTTCCTTCCTCCAGTTAATACATAACTGCCTTCTCTCTCCCCTCTCACCCAGTCACTATCCCGTCTCATGCATTTCATTGTCCCTTTCCATGTCCCACCTTCCTCAGGGACTCTTACTCCCCCTGATAACTTGGGTTCTTATCAAGTTACAGAATTTCTCTAAGCCTTTGTTTCATCGCCTGTGAAATGGGGATAATGCGTGTTTTGTAGTCAATAAAGAGTTAATTGCGAAACTCAATAAATTGATATCGGATGATGACTCAATTGATAAAAATGCCTACTAAGCATGAGGACTTCTCTTTGATCCCCAGAAGCCAGGCTAAAAATTCCAAACAGGGAGGGCATCATGCGCTTGTTAGCCCAGTGATGGGGAGATGGAGACACGTGGGTTCTCGGGGCTCACTAGCCAGCCAGCCTAGCCTAACTGGTACACTCCAGGTTAGTGAGATACCCTTTCTCATAAACCGTGTAGATGGTGAGTACGGAATGATCTCTGGAGTTGACTTCTGGCCTCCACAAACACGTACATGCAGTCCTGCACATATGTGTATACACTCACACATACATGCACACACACACATATGTAATTTAAAGCATTGTTTTCTAATGCTAATGAGGTTGACATTTGAATGTGAAATCTCCCCCTCAAACTAGCAATCCTTCTGCCTCAGCTTCACCACATGCTAGGATTATAGGCCTAGGAGATCACACCTGGATGAGACTCTTTAATTAGCCGATTCGTAGCACCTATTCCCAGAGTAAGAATGATATATCTTATTCTTTCAATAAATTCATTAGAAGGCAAACACTATCTCAGATGTTAACTGCAGTAGAACTTCCTGAATCCTTGTATAAGAGGATCAAGGGAGTTGAAATGCCTGGGAATTCAGGAGTAAGCAGCAGATTTAATGTCACAAGCTCGCACAAGGATCAAAGGCTTCTACCAAAGCTCTGCTGCACCTAACGTACCCACCGCCTGTTGCTAAAGGTATTTGCAAGTATGCATCCCATTGACATCTTTAGAACAAATTAGTCAATCTGGCCTTGTGCCTCCAAATCGCATCATATCATTGCTTCATTAAAAAAAATGCTCCAATTAAAGGACAGGAAGAAGTTCCTTAGGATATCTGTCTGTACATGTTAGTCTGATACGTTCCAATTAGAGACTAAACCGCGAGTCTCTGTTACCATGAGAACCGCAGTATTTCTCTGACTGCTCAGATTATGAACTCGGGGAGCACGCATCTTTGCAACCTCCGCCCATTATTTAACTACCGCTCCACAGGCTCGCATCTACCCAGAATGAACTCCATCCATCTCTAGCACAAGGAAGGGCACGCAGGGCTACAGGAGACGGAGCTGCTGCACCTTGCTTCTTGTCAGGAGAGTCAGGTAGGATCAATTCGTTTCACCATATGCTCCATCATTCACGCAGGGCATGGGAGAGGAAGCACTGAGAAGTTCGCAAAGCTTGTGATGACGTATAAAAATGACAGCGGCGTTTAACTCCGTCACTCCTGGAAGCATGAGTGTGTGGTGAGGTGGCCCGAGCCAGCGAAAGGATTTCTCTGAGCCCTAGAGCCTTTCTCTGTGCATTTGGGGTGAAGCCTACGTTGGTGACCGGGTACTTCCTCCCTCTTGGCAGATAATTGGGCCCTGAGCTCAAAGAGCTCATATTAAAACCAAGATTAGTAAGAGCAACCTAGTAACTATATGTCAACTTCTACTATAAAAAACCATGGGACTCTTTAATCTACTGTGAAGGACTTCTGCTCTTCATGCATGGAGGAGGTGTGTGGGTGTATAACCATACGTGTAGAAACACACGTTAGTAAGTGCCCACAGGGTTCAGAAGCTGGGGTTACAGGTGATTGTGAGACCCTTGGCATGAGCTCTAGGAACCAAACGAGTTCCTCTGCAAGATCAGGAAGCACTCTTAACCACTGAGCTATTCCCGGTCCCGGGAAAAACAGTTTCTAAAGGTAAAAGTACAAATTGATAGTTAAAAGGCTGCCTTATGACCCGTTATAAGGCTACAGCAATGTGGTTTGGTATTCCCCGCCACATTACCTCATCCTTAAGTATATTCTTCCTCAGACAGCACTGCATTGTAAACTCCCGGGGAGGGGGTAACGGAGGGACAACTAACACTCAGGATCATTTGAGGGATCATTTCGGACCCACTACTGTAGAAGCTTCTCAACTATAAACCTATGAAAGAAGTCTAAATGGAGTCACCAAATTGTGGAGGAGATAACGCCCAGCCCAACATCTTTCACCACCAACTTCTAGTACCAGGAATGGGTTATATCTAATTGAGCTGTTGACAGAAGGGGCCTCATGGAAATCCCCACACAACTCAGTCTGTTGCCAAGGCAACAGTTGGTGGCTCTCCACAAACTGGTGGTAAGGCCTTATTGCTGAAGACAACCCTTACATATTTCACTAAGCATGGAGAAGCTGTGCTGGGGCCAAACTAGGGCCTTCACCCCTACTGACTAGGGTTCGTGATACTGGAAGGCATTCTGCATGCTACGGAAGGAGACAGGTAACCACCAACCAAGTTCCAAACCTTGTGGTCTACAGTGGTGACTCACCTGCCTGATACACTGGTACAATATGGCACAAATGTTGGTAGGAACGTTGGATTTCAAGTCCACTCCACAAGATGGAGCCCATGCCTGGCACTGCTTGAGCAGTCAAGAACCTGAGACTAGATAGCCCATGGCCTAATGAAAGAAAAATACCAACATCCTGTTAAAGGAAAATAGTAGTAAAATAAGTGACTCCTAACAACATTCTACTGTACCCGTAGACCAGTGTCTCACTTAACCGTCCTCAGAGAAGCTTCCTCACGCAATAGAAGGGAACTAATAGAAACAATATGCAGAGAGCCAGGGACTTGGGAATATCCAGTCCTAAATGTCATCAAACCCCTCTCCTCAGAACTCAAGGAACTCTGTGGAAGAGAAGGGGAAAGCTTGTAAGAGCAAGAAGGGACGAATGATTCCACGGGAGTGATGTAATATAAATTTACAAAGACCATGGCAGAATGCACAGGGTCTACCCAGGGTCAAGCCAGACAGGGTCCCCGAGCTACGAGGGGAAGGTCAAGCAAGATTCCTTCCCTAACAAGAAATTATCTCCAACTGGCAACCACTTGTCAGGAAAAATTAGCTTCTCCAATGAGGTCTCACTGGGTATATTAACCATACTTAATAGGTAGGCCTCATGCCAAGCAGTAGAAGGCCAACACAAACAAATTCAATAGTCATTTTTTAGATTTTTTGTCGCATATTGCTTTACTTGGTCATCTTTCACTTAACTGGACTTTTGCTTATATCTTATGGTTTCTGATTTTCAGTTTTGATGGAGTTCTGTATGCATGCATATATTTCTTATGTTTTTCTTTGTTTTTATTGTTTTTTTTGTTTAGTTTTTGCTTATTTGTTTTCTAAAGAAAGAAAAAAGGCTTGGAGTTGAATGGGTGGGGAGGTGGGGAAGATCTGCGAGATAAGAGAGGGAAAATCATTATGAGAATATATTTTATGAAAAAAATTATTTTCTTTAAAGGAGAGTTAGCTAGTCTTGAATAAGGAATTACTTTCTTCTCAGTCTAGGCTGATGTCATGCGTTCCTCACTCACTCTCGGAGGATTAGTGAAC